GCCCCTTGTGAGCGCACGTTGGCTCTCTGAGCTGAGCGCTCCGTGTGAGCGCACGGTGGCTCTCTGAGCCGAGCGCCCCGTGTGAGCGCACGGTGGCTCTCCGAACTGAGCGCTCCGTGTGAGCGCACGTTGGCTCTCTGAGATGAGCGCCCCGTGTGAGCGCACGTTGGCTCTCCCAACTGAGCGCCCCGTGTGAGCGCACGGTGGCTCTCCGGTGGTGCCTGCAGGTGCTCTCGGCAGCGACGGGACTGGGCGCCCGGCCGCCCCCGCGGCAGGAACCCTCCTCCGGCCGCCGGGCTCAGGGGCGCTCGGGCCTCATCAGGGAGGCCTCAGGCAGGGGGCCGGTGTCTGCGTTTTAGTGAAAACGTTAATAATGTTCTCTTTCGTTTATTTTTAAGGTAATGTTTATAGAGCTAAGCTTAGTTTATAGCCATTTTTCCTGGTTTAAGCTGCAGCTGCAGAAGAAGGATCATTTTCAGCTTACTGAGCTGAAGAAGCAAAGAGGGGAAACGTGAGTCAGTGCTAACTAGATTTGTCTGGGAGCAAGTGCTGGCTCCTTGTATGAAAAGAAGGGCCCCAGGTGGTACTTTGGTGTATGTGGAACCATGCAGACCAAGCTCCTGTATACCTGTGTTTTGTCAGGAAATGGGCAGGTGATAGCAAGAGAGGGAAAGGCCCTTTATTCCTTTTCTTCTCCTATCATAACTACAAAAATGCCAGCCAGCTTAGTATCAAAATAAACTAGCATTTATTTTGCTCTTTCTTCTTTAATCAGACTCTTTCCATTTGAATTATTTATGACTGGAAATGGCATCTTGCCCAAATAAGAGCTGCAGAATCAGCTTGTTAGAAATCTTCCTGAAAAGTGGTCTCAATGTTTTAGGAAGCTAAGCCAGTGTCATTTGGGTTCCTGCTTGTATAAGGAATGGCAATGGTGATGCAGAAGCAAAAATTTGCATCACATACAAAGTGTTAAGACCCTTAGTGTGTACAGGGCTGGCTTGGATTTGTGTCCTCCTGTGAATAGCACGGGTCCCAGGCACTTCACCTGGTGTGTTGCCTATTTTTTGTACATTTTAGGTTGGATTAGAATGTTGCTTTTTATCCAAAAGTTTAGAAAACTCGATTTTTAGAAATCTGCTGAAATACCCTAATGATAAATATTTAAAATATCTTCAAAACGTAGTGCTCGAGAGGCTTCCTGTTTCATTTTTTTCAGATACCTTCTGCTTTACATCTTAATCAACATAATGTAATTCATAGTGTGAAATGGGATTATTTAAAGAGATGTTACAGTCACTAGCAGCAAACTCCCCTTTTCACAGGAGCTTCACAATTGGAGTGACTAAGAATTCCCTAGTAATGTTTTCAGCTAAAACCAACAACTATTAATCTCTTTGTCATAGAAAATTAAATGCAGCAGCATTGTCAGAATATGTTCTCTTTCAAAGTTTGTTGCCTTCCCCTCATGCTTTTTTTTTTCCCTTAACAGAACAATTAGTGATAAAAATGGAATTTACCAGTTTGAACAGGCTTCAAAATGCAAGGAAATTCAGGACAATATTTTGTCGTCATTGACCAAGAAAAAAAGGTAAGTGTGCTTTGCTTTCTGTTTTGTTTATTTTAAATATAAGAATAAAAAACTGTCCTCCCTTTGCACAAAATTCTCCATGATGTTCATGTGGAATTATACAACAGAAAATTGCAATCGTTCAACCAATGTTTACTTGCATTTTTATTTTCACGCGTTTTAAGCTTGTTCTGTTTTTTTTGTTGTTGTTGTTTTGTTTTTTTTGTTTTGTTTTGTTTTTTGCTTTTTGGCTTTTTTTTTTCTCACAGTGTAAGTCAACAAGATCCCCTCATCCCCAGTTAACAGCTTTTCATTACAAGATCTTTAAAAACAGGTAAAGCAGAACATGTGAGGTATAATTTCATTCTTGAGTGTCTTTTTCGTGATTAGTGAACACTCCTGCTGTGAGCAACCATAGTTAATAGGCTCATTTCAGCATTTACATTAGAATAAGTATAAAAATATGCTAGTATAAATTGCTAATTAATTGCACTCATTATAAGATTAACTAGTCCATGGGAAACTAATTATTCAGTTGTTGGTACATCTTGGAAGAAATATGCCAAATCCATTTTAGCTTTCAACTTTCCTATCCTTTCTTTTCATGGAAAAAAAAATCTTTGATATCAATCCTGCTTGAATTCCTTGCTGTTTTCTAAGGTGGAAGCAGGAGAAGCAATCCCTTCCTTTTTAGGTGTTTCACTCCTGGTGCCTACGAATGTACCAACAGAGAAAACATTGTAGATAAGACAGACTTCCTACTAGGACTAGATGCTAAAAAGTACATTCCCTGGTGTCTTTAAAATGGAGATATTTGCGCTTACGTATTTTTATTTTATTTGTAAAGAGGAGAGAAATGGAATGAGAAACAGAATCTCTACCAAAAATAGCTGTGTGGGGGGTTTCTTTGTTTTCCTTCCCCCCCAAGCCAAGGACTGAAGAAGTAACCCAAACCCAGCACTGAGTTATGATTTTTAAGCTTTGCCTGTCTTTTCTGCTCTCTCACCACCTTCACATTGCCTTTTAAGATCTTACAGCTATTTTTAAGTCACTGTATTCCCAACATTGTCTTATTTTATATTTTTACCAGAATTGAAAGAGTAATGTTTTCCTCCTTTTCCCATTTTAGACACTTAATCTTTTCTAATGGAGCTTTTTTTTCCCCCAGCTTCCTCACCAATTATTTCAATACCAGATTTCTTTCTTTTCTCCCCTTCTGTCCTTCATCCTCACTAACTTCACTCTGTTTTACTTGTTAGCTATATTATTGCATTCTTCTCCCTCTCTTTTTTCCTTTTCTTTAAGAATTTTTTTCCTTCCCTCAGGTCTCATTAACAACACTATCTTAAATGTTTTCACCCTTTCAAAGGGTGAAAGACCACTGTGCTACTGTAGCACCACTAAGAGCCGAAGTAGAGATTGGCAGACAGCTTAAAGGATACAGTTAGCTGAAACACTGAGCAAGTGATTAACACCCAGAGAAGGAAAATTGGCCAGTGTCTTGCTGCTAAAGCCTGGCTGTGGCAATATGAAAGCTATTATCCATCCTGGGTCTTATGAAGCAGTGCAGGCTCTGTGAGAATGCAGACTTATTTCTCACATCTAGAATGTTTTGGGGCAGAGAATCCAGGACAGTTTTGAGAAAGTGTCACACGTTTACCCTGTGGCTAAAAGGAGTGCTCCAGTAAAGGAGGTAACTGGGCAGATAAGAGAGACTGCCCCTCGGGACGTAAGGTTGGGTATTGCTTTGCCCGGTGAGTTTTGCAGCTCTCTCTACTGAGAAGAGCCACTGGGACAGCATCTGTGATGCTTTTTGAATGTGTTATCCACATGCATGGTATATAAATGATTTACATTGCAGTTCCAGAAGACTTTTGGGGATATTCTGGACTTTCTGGCTTACTATGCTAGTGGAGATCAAAAAAAAAAAAAAAAAGTGTTAAAGCTTGACATTTTAAAATAGCAAAAAAAGCTATGTAAATGTAAAGTATTACTGTAACAGACATGTGCTATTGGTGATTAAGTGCCTGAAATGCTGAGCTGTGGGTTGGAAGATCTCCATTTTTGTTGAGGAGCAAGCCTTGCACACGCTGTCTTCAGGGCTTTAAAAGCTATATGTTGTTTTGGCAGCAGTAAAGCATCCAAAGGCAGGAGAGATCCTCCCCTTCTCTTGCATTTCCTGCTGTTTTGTTTCTTTTTTTTTTTTTTTGGGGAGGGGGGAGGCATTTGTTTAATTCTTGAATATTTTCTGCCAACTAGGAAGGGTCATCCTTTCTCACTCCTGTTTCTTGCGTTTCCTCCTAGTTCAAAGAGCTTTTATTTATGTATTTCCTCCACTTAGGTGTTTAGGCCAGAAGTGAACCAGCGGGATGGCATCTGTCTCATTTGGACATTTCAACTGTTGTTTCTCTTCCACCTCAGCACCTCTGTCCTTGCTGTTGTCCTTTAGATACCTGCTAAAACCTGCTAGATGCTTGTACGTTGTCATTGCCGCGTCTCTGCATGGAATTTCACTCTAGCCATTCCGCTTCATTTAGAAGGTCACTGTGTACCTGACAAAAATCACTGGCAAAAAATCTTCAAGACATTATTTGCCAGCTAGGCTCATACAATATAAGTGAGTTTCCTAGGACAGCACGTCATTATAATAGTTTGTATGCAGGCGACAGGCAAAAACGGGACAGAACATATTTTGTTCACTGTTCTCAGCACTATAATTATTGTCTTGTTCACACATTGTTATAGTTCAATTTACCTGAGCTTTTTTATCTTAATAATAGAATCCTTTTAGCAGTAGTGACTACGTACTGTAAACTCTTGGATTTCCATGGAAATAATACATATTGTCCCAGCTCTATAAAATGAAGGAGAAAAGGACTGTCTACGTTACATCAGAGCCATGAAATGAAATCCTGATGACCATCCTGGACGGATTCCACTAGAGGAGGAGTCCCTGAGGGTCCTTTAAAGTGGGAAAGGCCAAAACAGGCATTTGGAGCATGAAACAAAGCTTTCTGGGCTGCAAACCCAGCTGCAGCAAACCCCAGAGCTTCATTTTCAGTTAAAAAAGTAGTTTATGGGAATATTGTCTATGTTCAGATTGTTCTTTGCATGGAACTGAATTCAAGAGAAGCCACAAGCCCCGCGGCAGCTGTGGTGGCTGCCGAGCCGCTGCGGGAGCCACCGGAGCCGGGAGCTGCTGCCGTCGGGAGCCCCCGGCCTGCGGGAGCCGCTGCCGAGGCGGCTCTGCCGATGCTGGCAAAGAGCATCCGTGCAGCTCTGTGAGCCACGAGGTGAACGAAACTGCACGAGAAGGGCAAGCGGAGCCATTGCTCTGGATTGCAATGACTCCTGAGTGAGGTTTTGCTTGGAGAAGGCTGGTGGACTCTGAAACCGCCGAGCAAGTCATCCAGTTTCTGCACCGTAGTGGGTGCTTTTACTCTAGGTGCAGACAAACTGCTAAGCTATATGGTAGGTAGCTGCTGTTGCAGTTAAGAAGCTCCTCACAATTTCTGGCCTTGAGTGCCCATGGTTTCTCCTGAGGCCTTAGATTCAGTGCTGTCAGCGACACTTTGATTTTTCTCAGTACCAAATATACACAGAGGTAGAAAGAACATTTTGGGGTGTTGAGTGCTTTACTATTGCAAGCTACCACAAATTTTGTATGCCTTTTTATCATTTTTCATGCTCCAGTTAAAAGCAAGTGAGGTTTCTTGCCTTCCCAGCTCTTGCTGGAAAGCTGTTGAAAAACACACTTCTAAGTTTCAGCTTAGATAAACTCCCAGTCATTTGGCTTTGGGCCAACACTAAGTCTTTGTTGCTAAAATAACACAGGATAGATATTTTTTTAGAGATGTGCCACAGAACTTGTAGTCATATGATATCCAGGTCATGTTGTCTTCTCTTCACCCTCCAATCCTCCTTGTAAGTCAGAGACTGTTTCTAAAAAGTTGATCAAACCATAATAGGAGAGATATTAAAACAGAACCTATAAAGGAAGAAATTTCACCTGTCTTTTGGCTTACAGGTTCTTCAATATTTCACATGTGGATAAATTTAAATCTGTTGAAAGAGTTTTAAAGGAGCAAAAAACTTTTTGGTTACATGTACCCCAGTGGTGCTTAATCCTGTTAGATATAAAACAGATTGGTTGTTTTATTTAAGAGAAAATTTGCAGAAAAACTTAGGTCTGTAAATGTTGATCTATGTCTTAGATTGTTGCATTGAGCCTTGGGGAGTTCATAAAGTAGATGAAAGAAAAGGCAGAAAAAATGTGTCGTGTTTCATCTTGGCTTGCAAGAGTGGTATCTCAAAACACTATTGAAGTTTAAAATGCCAAGTACAAGACAAAGTTTTTTTCTATTATTTTGGATTTCTGCACTGGAAATAATTTTCTGAAGAGTCCAATAACTTTAGGATAGTTATAGTCTAATATCTAAGCTTGAAACCAGCAAATTTCTAAAAAAAGAAGGGTTCATTAGGATATTACTATGAAAAAAGCCTGTTTATTAGGTCAAGCTAATTTAATAAGGATAGTACTGTTACAAATTATAGAAATAAAATGGGTTATGAAATTCTAAAGCAATCTATTATATATGCACCATGCATGTTGTTATTAATACATGTATCATTTGAATATTTTAGAGACTGTTTCTAAATATCTATTTGCATACTCTAGCATTTGATGTTCTTGCCTTTTTTTAGATATTCAGAAGATGATTTTCTTCACTTAGTCACAAAACTGCAAAACTGCACTTGGGTAAAGAGACCGGAAGAGTGTACAAAATTCAGGTAATTTTAATTTTCTCATTTAGCCAAGCTGTTTAGACCAGGTTTGTCTAACAAACAATAAACTGAGATCTTACCTATTGTAAAGATTCTTTTGTCTTGTTTTCAGACTGCATACACAGCTATGCATTTATCTTATTCTTTTGATGTTGGGTTTCTTTTTGTTTATTTGCATAGAACTGTGCAAAGAGAGCAAGATAAAAGAACTACACAAATGAATAATTTCACCTATCCCCACTGCAATGAATAGTTAACTAACTTGCTAGAATGGATTAAATATAGCCTCAAAACAAAGCATACAGTATTAAATACATCTAGCAGTGTGTTTTTTGTTTGTCTGAAATGGCACTCTGACAAGGTGCTTTGCAATGGAAGGGAATATTTCTTAACCAGGACTGTTCCTGTTACAGAAGTGCCTAAGGTGCTCATTAGGCTCAGCCCTGCATGTCATGACACCCATGCAAAGAAGCACATGGTTACACCTGTCCCTGTCAAGACTGCACATATATTCAAGCTTGCACATAAGTATGTGCTCCATAGGGACTGCAATTCCTGCAAAGCTTCCACTCGCATTTGGAAATGCGTCATGCTGAATTTAGAGAACAGCTTCATGGTGTCAAATCTAGTTTCTCCAGAGGGAAAACACTCTCTGAATTACACTGTTGCATGGAACAGAATTAGAGATTCTGTCAAGATCATTAAAAATAAACAAACTGACCTACCTTCCAACTCTTTGGAATTAACTAACTTTGAAAACTTAATATCCATGTACTCAGTGTGATACTGTTGGAAGAAATGATGAAGGGGAGTGATCTTTATGTGCAACATAAATTGCCGTTCAGCTGATCAGTGCTGTTGACCAGTGGTGTTTCCCAAAGCTGAGGCAGTATAATGCATAGAGTTAAGATCTGAGAAGCTTTCATTAAGCTCTCTTGGGCTTTCTGGCTTTAGCCATGCAGAGGTATCGAATATGATACGGAGCTGTAGAAGCAGAGAGCGAGAAAAAGAAATTCAGTGTAAAATTTACCAGCTAAACATTACACACTTCATGCTTACTGCACTCTTAGTTTTTTTTTTTTTTTTAATCAGACTTTAAGCACAAGAGCCTAGAACTAGCTCTGCAAGGACACTGCATCTTAGGAGTGATACATTGATAAAGCTTTGTGGGGAATAGAGCTTCTAGAAATGTGATGAAGAAAGGTAGTCCTTTCTTTTCCTAATCCACTTAGAAGTTTCCACTTCTTGTCTCCCTGTCTCTGGTACTGCCCCATCTTTCATTCTCTCTTGTCCTTTTGCTCAACCAATTAGTAATCCTGTGGCATCACCTCTCTTCTTTTTGTTTTCTAATTTTATATAGTATCAGTAATGCATAATATTTGTTAATTAATATTACTCATTTCTAAAAATCTTATTAATTTGATAAACATACCCATTCTGCAGAAGAGGAAGGTAACCTCAGTGAGACTGTGCAGCAGCTTTGGATAATACAGCCAGTTCCCATCAGGAGGAGAGCTGGAGTCTGCTTGGTCACAGGAGTCTGCCTGCTGACAGCTGCTTGTCTTCTTTCCTTGCTTGCCCATCTGCTAAACGGAGTGAACACCTCCATGCTCCTCGGGCATGGTGTCGATGAGGACATCTCTGTATAACCCCGAAGTTCTGAAGAACAGTGAGATATACATAAGAGATGCATATGCGTAAGAGATTTAATGTCTTATGCCACAGGGCATAAACTAACCTCTAATTAGTAAGGCTCAAAAGAAGATTCCCGGAGGATAGAGAATTTCTCAGAGAAGCTTTCTTGTGTTTTTCCTTTGCTGATTGCTATTATCTTACTGGTAGTGGAGTAAATGAATCCATGCTCCATAACTCAGATGTTCCTGGAAGGCAGAACTGTGTGCCAATGAGTACACATCTCTTCTCCCTCTAAATCTAACTCCCAGGAAATCCAGGCCAAATAAAAGGATATGGATCAGAGGTGCAATGCAGGAAAGAACTGCTTGTCTTTGTATTTGGCAGAAGGGTTTCAGCTGCCAATCCTGGTTGACAAAAGCCATAGTGGTCCCAGTGCACAAAAAGCAGAGTGTGGGATTCACACAGAATCATAGAGTGGTTGAGGTTGGAAGGGACCCCCAGAGGTCATCTAGTCCAACCTGCTCAATCAGGGACATCTAGAACAGGGGGCACAGGGTGGCATCCAGGCAGGTTTTGAAAATTTCCAGAGCAGGAGACTCTACCACCTCTCTGGGCAGCCTGTTACAGGGCTCTGTCACCCTCACAGTAAAGAAGTTCTTCCTCATATGGAGATGGAACTTCCTGTGTTTCAATTTGTACCCATTACCCCTTGTCCTGTCACTGGCCACCACCGAAAAGAGCTTGGCCTCATCCTCCCTACCTTCTCCTCTCAGATACTTATACATATTGATCAAATCTCTCAGTCTTCTCTTCTCCAGGCTAAACAGGTCCAGCTCTCTTAGTCTTTCCTCATACAATAGATGCGCCAGTCCCTTAACCATCTTTGTCGCTCTGTGCTGGACCCTCTCTAGAAGCTCCACATCCCTTATTTTCACTGGGGAGCCCAGAACTGCACCCAATACTCCAGATGTGGCCTCACCAGAGATGAGTAGAGAGGGAGGATCCCTCCCTCAACCTGCTGGCAACGCTCCTCCTGATGCAGGCCAGGATCCCATTGGCCTTCTTGGCCACGAGGGCACATTGCTGACTCATGGTTAATTTGTTGTCAACCAGGACTCCCAAATCCCTCTCTGCGGAGCTGCTTTCCAGCAGGTCATCCCCTAATCTATACTGGTATCCGGGGATATTCTTTCCCAGGTCCAGGGCCCTGCACTTGCCCTTGAACCTCATGAGGTTCCTTTCTGCCCATCTCTCCAGCCTGTCCAGATCCCTCTCAATGGCAGCACAGCCCTCGGGAGTGTCGGCCGCACATCCCAGTTTGGTGTCATCTGCAAACTTGCTGAGGGTGCACTCTGTGCCCTCGTCCAAGTCATTGATGAAGAGTTGAAGAGCACCAGGCCCAGTACTGACCCCTGTGAGACACCACTGGCCACAGGCCTCCAACCAGACTCAGCCCCATTTATCACCACCCTCTGGGCTCTGCCATCCAGCCAATCCTCAATCCACCTCACTGTCCACTCATCCAGTCCGCACTTCTGGAGCTTTCCTATGAGGATGTTATGGGAGACTGTGTTGAAAGCCTTGCTGAAGTCAAGGTAGACAACATCCATGGCTCTCCTATCATCCATCCAGCCGGTCACCCCATCGTAGAAGGCTATCAGGTTCGTCAAACGTGACTTCCCCTTGGTGAATCCATGCTGACTACTCCTGATCACCTTTTTTTTCCTTGACATGCCTAGTGATGGTCTCTAGGATGAGCTGCTCCACCACTTTTCCAGGGACGGAGGTGGGGCTGACCGGCCTGTAGTTTCCCAGCTCCTCCCTCTTGCCTTTTTTGAAGACTGTAGTGACACTGGCTTTCTTCCAGCCCTCTGGTACCTCCCCCACTCTCCAAGACCTCTCAGAGATGATGGAGAGCCGCTGAGTAATGACCCCTGCCAGTTCCCTCAGCGCTATTGGGTGCATCCCATCCGGGCCCATAAATTTAGGGGTGTCCATTTTGCCTAGGTAATCCCTAACCCAGCCCTTTGGACCAGCAGAAAGCCCTCCTCTCTCCTGCTTCTTTCTCTTGTCTCTGGGCTCTGTAGTTCATGGGGACTGGCCCTAGCAGTAAAGACCGAAGCAAAGAAGGCATTTAGTAACTCTGCCTTCTCTGCAACCTCCGACACCAAGGCACCCTCCCCATTCAGCAGTGGACCAACACTTTCCCCGGTCTTCCTCTTGCTGCTGATGTATTTGTAGAAGCCCTTCCTGTAGTTCCTGACATCTCTTGGTAACTGTAATTCCAGACGGGCCTTGGCCTTCCTCATTGCATCCCTGCATTCTCTGACAATGTTCCTATATTCTTTCCATGATTCCAGCGTGGCCTGCACTACCTAGCCCAGCTCTGGCATGCAGCCCTGCAAACCGTGTTCGTATGTTGCCAGCGCTGCCCTTTGCACTCTCTGGATGTCTTTATCTAAGCTGCTCTGCTTCGCCTGCTCACACATGCTCAGCTGCAGCACTGTGTGCCCGTGGTCAGTGGCTCTCATCAGCACTGTGCTGGGTGCCCATGGCTTTCTCAAAATGCAGAAGAGTCAAGGGGCAAGTACAAGTCATGGTGTCCTCTTTAATACCCCGTAGCCACAGTGTTTTTTGTTTGTTTTTTGTTTTGTTTTGTTTTTGTGATGGATTTTTGTCCTGCTTCGGCCAGGGAATCAATCTCCTGTACCTTCATTTATTTAATGTCCTTAATGCTGGCATTAGTGCAGCCAGATTCGTTTTGCCCTCCAGGGAGCTTGTGCAAACACTCGTTTCATTGCTCTTGTGGTCTAGCAGTGCCGTGTGTGGATGTTTGTTGGCCATTCCTCAGGATTATCTGACTTCACAGCAGACGCTAGCAGGGTAGTGTAGGTATAGCAGAAGATCTAGCAGTGTTGTAGGTTCACTGGAACAAATACAATTCCAGTAAGAAGGACTTTCAGGAAAGTCTTTTCCAACATTTAGAGCTATCAACACATACAGAACAGAAGTATTCTATTCAGACTTCTTCTTTACAAAATTCAGCTTTGCTTTCTTTGTTTTTTTTTTTTCTCATGTGCTTTACAATTAGCAGTCTAGCATTTTCACCCCTTTATTTCAAAGCTCACCTGAATTCTGCTTCCCTTTGCAGATTTACATCAGCTCTGACTTATTTTGAACAATTCAAGTCCTCAATTTCTTGGATATAAGAGAGGATTGGTGCAAATTTGGAAAGGGAGGTGAAATAATCCTGCAGCTGCCTTGAAGCATCATTCTTAAAGCTCTGGAAGAACTGTCGGGTAGATTTCTCTGCACAGGCTCTTCTAGCTACAGTTGGTAGAGTCTCAGGTTCCCTAGGTAACATGAATATT